GTTACTCCTCCAAGTTGTGGATCCCTCATTTACAAAATAGGGATACAATAGTATGCTGTTTCATAAGAATGTGTTAAGAATTAAAAATGATGTTTATAAAGTTCTTAACACAGTGCATAGTAAATGTTCAACAAATAGGAATGATCATTATTTCTAAAAAAAAAACAACAAAAAACCTGTTGTTCCCATCAAGTCTTTCTTCACTTATCAACCTTAGTGCTCAAACCCAAGCCTGCCAACACCAACCACAGTTTCTCGCCCCAGAGGGAACCAGTCCCTTACCCGAGACCCTTCAGGGCCTAAAGAGGCTTGATCTCCTCACCCACGAAACTCTGTCTGCCCCAGCCTTCAAATTTCATCTCCGCTAAGAAGCTCTCCCAAAGACTCAAGGGACCTTGCCAGCAACTCTGCCTGACACTGCCTCTGCAACTGTCTGTTCACAAGTCCTCAGCTCTTGCCTGCAGGCAATTTATACTACCAATCACACCCCATTCAGAAAGCTTTAGGACTCTGTGTCCTCCCTGTTGTCACATTCCAAGTCCAAGTTCCTTATGTAATGAATGCACCCTGGGTATTTGACAAGTACCAATGGATAAAGAAGAACATAAGAATCATGAAAATGATTCATATCAAACTCAAGATCTATGATAACTCATAATGATTTCCAAAGAGCTACAAGAAATTAAAGTTTCCTAAAAAACCATGTAAGAAATCTACTAACAAAACATACATTTGTCTATTGCTTCATCGTTTATAAAATGCTTTCACATTCATGACATCATTTTGACAAGTTGGAAAGCTAAATATAATAAGTATTACATCTTCTTGACAGATGTAAAATCTGAGGCTCAGAGAAGTAAAGCAGCTTGTCCAAGGATCAAGACACAGTATAAAATCTCTTGATTCTTCCAAGTCCCTCCCCTATTTATTGCTCCCTCATGCCGACTCTAACCTCAAATGATACACATGCTCCAAGCGACTAATAAGAAATCTGGCTGGGCACCAGTGGTTCACACCTGTAATCCCAGCACTTTGGGAGGCTGAGGCTCACTTGAGCCCAGGAATTCGAGATCAGACTGGGCAACATAGTGAGACCTCATCTCTACAAAAAATAAAAAATTAACCGGGTGTGGTAGCATACACTTGCAGTCCCAGCTACTTGGTAGGCTGATGCAGAAGGCTTGCTTGAGCCCAGCAGCTGGAGGCTGTGGTGAGCTGGGAATACACCACTGCACTCCAGCTAGGAAAACACAGTGAGACTCTGACTTAAATAAATAAATAGGAAATTTTATCTGGCAGGGACCACAAAGAAAGAAGACACTCAAGAATAACTAAATTACCTTCTGAAGTGAGGAATTTCCCTCATCCAATCATGGGTAAAGGCCAAGGGAAGCAGTACCAGCATGCAGAGACCAGAATTATCAAACAACATGACGTACTGGTTGGGCACAGATGAACTGCAGGATCCAGGGAGACTGGAAGAAGCGGAGGCTGGGTATTTTGACAGGGGCCAGATCAAGAAGAGCTTTTATGAAAAGCCAGGGAGACTGGAAGAAGTAGGGGCTGGAATGAAACTGAAGCAGAGACAAGGGATTACCAACTAGGGGGCTGTCACTGTGACTAGGCACTAGAGGAACAGCAGTAGAGATGGTGGCAGTTCAGTCCCCTGGCCAAGCAGCTCATACACAGTTCAACCTTCACAGACTTAGCACCTCTCTCATTCGACCACTGGAGCTTCCTTTAAGCCCCCTCTGCCTTCGGTTTCACTCTAAACCTTTGATGATTTACTTTTACCCTGAGATGGCCCAGTCCTCGAGGTCAAACACAACAAAAGACAGCTGATCAGCTCCAGGGTGACCCTGAGCAAAGCCTGGGGCAGTCATATTTCTGCAGAGTATGGTGGTGGCACTAGGACATTTTTTTTTTTGAGTCAGAGTCTCACTCTGTTACCCAGGCTGGAGGGCAGTGGCACACTCACAGCCACCACAGCCTCAACCTGCTGGATTCAGGTGATCTTTCCGCCTCCGTCTTCCAAATAGCTGGAACTACAGGCATGTGCCATCATGTCTGGCTAATTTTTTGATTTATTGTAGAGATGAGGTCTCGCCAAGTTGCCCAGGCTGATCTTGAACCCATGGGCTCAGGCAATCCTCTCACCTCAGCCTCTCAAAATACTGGGATTATAGGCATGAGCCACCACACCTGGCCGGCCACTAGGACTTTAAGCAAGCGCTGATAAATTTTCCCTGCTGCTGAATAAATCAAGCCAGAGACATCCTTGCTGGTGATGCTGATGGCCGCCTTGGCAGGAATTCACACTCCCTGGGGCTGCATGGGGATTGACTATGGACTACCGAGCATCTGGGCTCCTTTATCATCACTGGTCCTCATTCTAAGAAGTGCTAGCCACAAGATCCAGCACAGCTCTCAGTAGCACCTACGAGCTCAGGTGATTATGAAAGAAGAGCTGCTCTGACCCATACTTATAACTAAACTTGTCACTGAAGCATAGAGCAGCTCATGTGTTGTGAACCCAAAAGTAACCCTTTTGTACAGCACTTTACAGTTTACAAAAAAGTTCTTATATATTTTATTTGCACTTTTCGACCCCATGGGCAAGGTAAAGCAGATATTACAACCACCTTGTGCATGAGAAAGCTAAGGCTTGGAAAGGTTTTGAATAATCCAAAGTCATATGGATTGTAGGCACAGAGCAGAAATTCCAACTCAGAAATCACTCCACATTCAGGACTCTGGCCATCAGACCCCCAATTCCAGTCAGCACTATGGTTTACTACCAGCATGAGTTAACTGACCATCCTGGTCCTTACTGAGGCTATTTCCTTCTGTGCTGCTTTTCCTCATAAGACAATGATGCAGAACTTGGAAAGGGTCACCAGGTCTCCATCAGACCTGACTACCACCCAGTAATAGCCAAAGTCAGAGCCTAGGGGTAAACCCTGATCAGAGCTTCCCAGAGAGTGCTGGACAGGTGGTATACAAGCTGGTGTACAGGGCTAGCAATGAGAAGAAGGAGGGTTTTGAGAGGCAAGTTCAAGTCCCTGTTCTACCATGTACTATGTGACTTTGAACAAGTGACAGCTTTCTTTCTGAAATTCTACTTCCTTACCCCTAGAATGAGGACAGCAGCATCTGACCTACCTGCCATTCAGGGATTAGGGTCAAAAATGGTATTTTTCTTCTCCCATTTCCAGGGAGTCACCAGACCATGCTGGGAGGACCCACTATAGAGTAAAGCACACCAGTTCTGTCCTGGTGGTCTCCCTGCTCCAACTTCATCATTCCAGCAGACAATTTGTTCTTTTTATCTTTTTTTTTTTTTGAGTTGGAATCTCACTCTGTCACCCAGGTTGGAGTGCAGTGGCACGTTCATAGCCACCCCAGTGTCGACCTGTTGGGCTCAGACAATCCTTCCACCTCAGCCTTCCAAGTACCCGGAGCTACAGGTGCATGCTACCACACCTGGCTAATTTTTTTACTTATTGTAGAGATGAGGTCTCACCAAGTTTCCCAGGCTGTTCTCGAGCCCATGGGCTCAGGCAATCCTCTCACCTCGGCCTTCCAAAGTGCTGGAATTACAGGCTTGAGCCACAGCACCCAGCTGACAATTTGCTTTTCAATCTAATCGGGCAGATTTAAGCCATTCAATGTGAACTCACACTTTTTCAACACAACCTCTACTCATGACCTACTTTGTACCAAGCATAGCCTTAATTATATAAAGATAAATCAGACAGTGCCTGCCCTTAAAGAACTCGAAGTTTGATTTAGAGCTGGAAAGACTGATAATTACTACATTAGTAATAAACACCACAGTATAATAGTAGGCGGCAACTTGGTCTTTTATCTGTGAATTGTGGGTGTTTGTGCATGGCCCAAGTAGGACACAGTAAACATTTATCGAATAAATTAATAAAACTATCATATAACCTGATGACAGAAGATACCCAGAATTCAGTAAACACATTCTCTTCTCTGCCTCAAAATTTCTAGCTTCACATATCCATTTTCCTTACTCCTGCAGTGAAAGAAAAGGTCCCCTTCCTGCTTGTGAGAACTAACCCTCCACAGTGACCTCCATCCTCTCTCTCATCTGCTTGAGGCCCCCAACTCCAAGTATGTCCCTTCTCGCTTACAACTGCACTCATCAGTCTTCCTTCCCTCTCTCCCACAGTCTCGAATTTTCTCTTCCAGCCTTCTGATGCACTTTGGTGTCTCTGTGCTTACAAAACTCTAACCAAGCTCTCTCCAAGGTCCTGAGCTTGTCCGTCATCCTCATGACCACAAACCTCCTGAAAGGGCCACGTATCCCCACGGCCTGTGTTTCTCCTCACCCATTCATTCCAACTGTGTTTGCTTTTGCCTTTTCACCAAAGCTGCCCTCACAAGTGTCACCGCAGCCTCCCAATCACCAAGTCCAGGGGTTTTTTCTCTACCCCCAAGCTCTCCGACCTCCCTGCTGAAATCCCTTGGCCTCATGACACTGCAGTTCCTGGCCTCCGTCTCCCTCTTGTCAATACGCGTCTCTCTCTGGCTGCTCTCCGCTTAGAGCAAGTTCTTGCCAAGACTCGCCGCTGCTTTACGTTAGCTCCCTTGAGCACTGATTTAACATCAAGGCTTCCAACTCAGGAAGCCTTTCTAGTCACAACCTCCCACCCCAACCCCCACCTCCACCATGCAGAACCCAACCAAGCCACAAGGGACTGAAAATGCAAGAAACAGAAGGTCACTGAGGACACGGGAAGGGGCGGGACCAACATGGTTTCATCGCTGGACTCTCTTAGAGAGTCTTTGTCACATTCTGCTTGTCCTGCAGTGAACCTGACTTAGCCCCGCTACCAACCCACAAGCTCCTAAGACAGAGACTGTTCCACTCCTCCCTGCTGCCCCACCCTAACGTCGTGCTCAGACAGACAGGCGTACCTAAACATCTGTTGGATCAAAGAAGAAAGACAGCAGGTGGACATTTGGGAAAGTACCTGGTAAACTGCGCAGGGCTGAAGGACTAGGACCCTCACACCAATGGCCTTTGTAAGAAACTCCAGGGCTGTCCAAGCACAATGCAGGGCCACATCCTGTCTGCACTGGTGTGCAGGGCATCTGAAGACCACACACCAGGAAACGTGGAAATACTCATTCCTGAACTGGCCTGAGAATGAGAAGCACTGACTAGAGGGAGGGAGAGAAGAGCAAGTGAGAGGGGCACAGATCTCCAAAGTTATGTCGTTCATTCATTTTTCGTTTATTCAGTCAGCAAACATCCACTAAGCACCTTACGAGGGCCCAAGGACTATTCTACACACTGGGATTACAGCTTTGAACAAGACAGATGAGGTCCTTGCTCTCCTGGATTTCGATTTTAGTGAGAAGAAAGAGACAAAAAATATAAATAAATAAGAAAACAGCAGGTAGCAGTAAGTGCCTGCTGTATCTTATCTTTTACCATCTCTCTCAAACATGAAAGCCCTGTCTGGTGGCTCTTTCCCTTTTCTGAGTGCTCATGGGGACAAATCCTGTCCACTGCTTGGAGGTTTGTTTTGTGTTATTTCTTCCCCTGCTATGTCAGCAGCTACAGCACAGATGTGCTAGGTTTTTCTCAGCTCCAATGAAACAGTCTTCGGGTGAACGCTGCTACCCATTTTAAGTACCTCTATGCCATTTTGGGAGACCTCTGAGACACTGGCCTCTGCTATACCTGAAAGACTTGGGCTGCCTGGGCTCGTTGTCTCAGAGACTTCATGCTCCTCTAGGAACAGCAACGATGCTGTGGGTTACTTACCAGAGAGCCACTTGGGAATACTTTTTCAGGTTGTGTTCAATTCTGTCAGAGCCCTCTGGACTCAGCTGATCGCTCGTGGTAGATTTCTGTGTTATTTAGGGCACCAAAGTCCCACAGTCTTGACACAATCTTAAAATTAGAAATGCATTAAATATAGGAAAGGAGGAAGGTCATTCAGGAAAGGCAGACTTCCGAGGGAGCTGCAGGACAAAGACGCCCTGGAAACTTCCAGGTTCATTAATGGGTTTTACACAAGCATTCAAGTGGTATTTCTCCTTCAGAAATAACACTGTGGAAAGCATTGGGGACCAGCTCAAACCTCAGCTAACACAGCCGAGTGAGTGACTCTGCAAACTAAAAATAGCTTCTTTCCCACTCATTCTGACAGATTGCACTTAGACCCTGCGCACAGGTTGATCCTCTAACAGTTCTAGTCCTGCAGCAAAACGAGGGCTGATGGCATTCGGGCTTGACAATTACCCACCCTGTGGTTTAACTCCTATTGATGTCCATGTTCCTGCCCCTGCTCCAATGGCTCTGTGCGAGCACACGTGCACGTGTATGCCAAACTCCCTGCCTGGAACTTGGTGCTCCTCAACCAAACGTGCACAGAATTTAAACCACGAACATGACTCAGGACTGTGGCTGCAGACTCAGACTGAACCCAGAGGAAGTCCTTAGAACTTGGGCTTTCTGCCTTCTTCTTTTCCTACTTCCTAGCTAGCCTCTTGGGGCCTCAATTTCCACAACTATAAAATGGGAAGGACCATTCCATTCTGGCCTATTTCACAGTATCACACTGAGATCAAATGAGACGATGGATGTGAAAGTCATTTTCTTCAGACAGTGATGGGGCAGGCTAGACAGGCAGCCAGATAGCAAAACTGGGCTCACCCACGAGAATGCGTAGGCATCCTGTTTGCATCAGGACTTAAAAGCAGGTCTAGACCTAGGTCGTCCCCTCTGCCTGGAATGTCCTTCTACCTTTGCTGAACTCCCACACATTTTTAAGAATCCAGTTCAGACACCACTCTTTTGTTGTTATGTTAGTGTCTTTAGAATGAATCATTCCATCCTGACTGCTCCCTTGGCCTTTTGTACATACCGATAGTGCTTTTCATTCTGCACAGCAGAAACTAACTTATATACCTGGGAGTTCTTTGTGGGCAAAGACCATGTACTTTTCATCTTTGTGTCCACCTCCCCACCCACTTGCCACTATGTGGCCAACACTGGCACATGGTAGCTGTCAACCAATTTTTACGGGGCTGACTACGGAACGGGCCAGAGCTCAAAGTCAAGGGGGAGGGGAAGGTCAGAGAGACTCAGGAGAGCTGGGATGGCACACATAAAGAGCCAGTGGAGGGGGTGGTGGGCAAGGAATCCAAGAAAGTAGTATCAAAGAGGTCTGTCCCAGGCAATAAGGGCACAGCCATAGGGACAAGAGTCAAAGCTGAACTGCAAGTACTGGGAAGACCAGACAGGGATCAAATGAGGGAAACACAAGGAACTGAACAGGAAGCAGGGACATCATTCTAAGGCATATAACCTAACCTGGAACAGAGGACTTCAGAACAAGGAACAAGGGCAGAGAACAGAGCCAGGGCAAAGCATGAGAGCAAGGCTACAGTGGTACTGAAGAGGGCTGGAATGTCTAGAATAGTTATCATCCCCAGTTGTGCCAAGGTTGCATCAGTAGCTAGGGATTAGTGGCCTTGGCTACGAAACTGAGGGACTCCAGAGGCAAGAGGCATTACAAATAGTGATCATTTCTGTGAAACAAGTATTAGAGATGAAAGAAACACTTAGATCTATAAGAAATATTAGCAATTATCTAGTCTAACATTTCCAACCTCCATAAGGGAAAAACTAAGGACCCAGGAGGAAAAGGGGCCTGCCCAAATCCACTCAGGGCAGAACGAAACCTAGAACCCAGGTCTTCCAGCTCTCAACCTGGTTCTTTCCCCCTCGAGACAATTTACCTTCAGCCAAGCAGGTATCCTGATGGTTCCACTAACGCACCAGCTGCCAACTCCAGCTGCTTCAGAATCCTGATGAGCCCCAATGCGCCCACTAAGTGAGCACAGGCACTTCTATCCAACTGTGAGATGCAGGCCCCCGCCTTTGGGCAGAGTTTAAAGCCAATATAGCTGCTGGGGTATACCAGGGGGACCCCCCCAAAAAACAGAATTTATTTATTTTAAAAATTGTGTATTTATTCTTACATGTTTCAACTTCAGTCACCTTCAAAGTACTCTACATTTGATGCAATATACCTATCTAGACACTTTTTCCACTGCTCAAAACAGTTTTTGAACTTGTCAATTTTGAAGCTAAACTTTAGTGCTTCTGCCATTTTTTTGTTTCACCTTTTCCTCAGCAAAACATTTTCCTTTGAGGACATTTTCCATCCAAGGAAAAAAAAAAAGTCTCTTGGAATGAGATCAGGTGAATAGGGAGAGTGGGGCACAGGGGTGAACACTCAGCACAGTGTGGGCAGGTTGTTTAGTGTAAATTACCCATCATGAAATGCACAAACACCATGAAAGAATCTCAAAAAAAAAAATTTAACTGAAGCAGAACACAGACTCTCATAACAACGCTAGCTGGTACACTGATGCCGATGGATTCCTAGAACACTTACCTAGTGCGGGAAGCCTGTGCTACAAAGGGGCTCGCCCTCCAATAAAATAATTCCTGTTCTTTTGGGGTTCCCTTCACATTTGGTTTCTTTGGTTCATACGAAGGAAGGGTCATGCCATAGGCCAGTTCTATCTACCTGTGCTTTCCCTTGGCGCTTGGCTGTCCTTCTGGACCCTTCTGTTCAGCCCCACCCCAGATAGCTCACTCCTCCCCATTTACTTTTTGGACATAAGAGCGAAGAAAAGAAATAAAAGGCAACTGGTCAGCTATGTGTCACATGCAGGTCCTTGAAGGTCAGAAATCATCAGCTTAGTCCAAGGCTGTTCCTACCTCCCCAGGTGTCTCTGCATCTCTCTGGTCAAGCCTGTGACCAGGGTAGCACCTAGTTTCGTGTGGCTCTTGTATTTTCCAAGATGAATCCACTCTTAGCAGCTAATAGCTGCCCCCTGGCCCAGCTCTCTCCAGGCATCAGGCAAATATATGCCTGGCATCCACGCTGGACCTAATTTCCAGACTCAACTTACCAGTGGGTAACAGCCAGGAGTTTGAACCTGTAGTGAGACCAGACAGCATACACTACAGCAATGCGGAGAGTAGAGAAGAAAGGAAGCACTAAAATGAAGCTGCCAAGGGGCTCAGGGCTCAAGCCACTCCTGATATTTTCCCTCTAATTAAAGTTACATAAAACTCACATCAACATCAGTCTCCTGGACTGCATGTTTACATTGGCCATGTCTGCACACTGCTGCACACTGTGGTCACCACAGGGCATTAAAAGACTTCAAAGGGGAAGAAGACAATGGAACCAACAGTTTCCAAGTGCCTACTAGGCCAAGAACTTTGCATTATTATATAGAGAGTATAAATAAAAAATAATACTCTATATAATCATCTTGACAATAGAACCAGAGACCAGAAAAGGTTATGCTCTGTGCCTCCACTACTATGCTACTTGACCATGAAGTCTTAAACAATCTTGGAAAGACAAAGAAAAGCCAGAATCTAAAGCATTACATACCAGGTTTTCAGCACCTTAACTCACTAAGCAGGCAATACTAGTTTAAATACTGCATTCCCTCATTCACTGCTGGTGGAGTCAACTTCTGCCGAATGGAATCTAGAGTAACACAGCAAAAGTCAAAAGTCATGACCTTTGTCCCTATCATTTTATCCCCAAGATCATATTTCAAGGAAATAGTTCAACAAGGATTCACTACAATGTTCACAATAGTGACCAAAAAAAGAAAGAAAAGTATATAAATGTTCAATATCCAGAGAATGGTCTGAAAAAAATCCTAGAACCCTCTAACCATGTGATATTTTACTATATAGTCATTTTATTTTATTTTTTAGACAAAGGGTCTCACTATGTCACCCAGGCTGAAGTGCAGCAACATGATCATAGCTCACTGCAACTTCAGACTCCTGGGTTAAAGCAATCCTCCCACCTCAGTCTCTTGAGTAGCTGGGACCACAGGTGCATTCAACCACACTCAGTCAGGGATTTTTTTGTTTGTTTTTTTCTTTTTTTGTAAAGACAGGCTCTCACTGTGTTGACCAGGCTGGTCTCAAACTCTTGACCTCAAGTGATACTCCCACCTCGGCCTCCCAAAAAGCTGAAATTAGCAGGCTCATGCCACCATACCTGGTATACCCATTTCAAATTGTATGGCCATTTCAAATGATCACTTTAAAGATCAAGAGGAAACATCATAACTGCTATCACCACAACTTTATAGAAGTATGCATACTAAACAACATCTGTATGTACGATAAGGAATGTAGTCATGTTAGGGTGATAAGATTATGGATGGCTTTGTTATTATTACCATACATAAATTGTCTTTGTGGTATTATTTAGTACCTTTCAATCAAATCAGAGAGAAAGAGAGAAACAGACAGACAGACTTAACCCAACACTAAGGAAGGGCCCAGGAGGACCAGGGCTGGGATGTGAAAGAGAAATTGAGACCCGTCCTACATAACCGGAAGTGGAGGCCAGGCAGGTCCCTGGAGATGGGAAGCCCTCTAGGTATGGAGAGGGTTGTAATTAGTCTGGTGCTAATTACAGAAGTCTCACAAGCTTATTAATTTTTTGACAGATTCTGAATGAAGACTGAATTCCTTCATTAAGCTAACTTGGGTTCAGATGCACATCTCCTGCGTGGCCATCCTCATTCTTCGCAAAAGCCTAATCTGTTCTTTTTTTTCCCCCAAGGACAGCAGTAAAGTAAAATTTAGTAACAGAAACACACACCCTAGAGAAATTAAAACTCCTGGCTTAAACGTAGAAATTCAAGTCATTTTGGAAAGTCAAAGGGACTTAAATAAGCAACTGAACCACAATGTTTTCTATACTGGTAAATATAAATAGAAGTGTAAAATATTTAGCTCGGTATTAAAGGCCCCCTTGATCAGGTTTCAACCAATCTTTCTGATGTTGTCTCATAATTTTCCCTGCAGACCCCATGCTCCTGCCAAACTGAACCACTAGTGGTCCCCAAAACAGTTTCCGACCCCCAAGACGCTATTCAAGTTGTTACATCTATCTAAAGGCTCAAAGCCATCCCATTCACAAAGTCTGTGCCAATCTCTGTACCCTGAATCACTTCTCACTCACAGTAGATCCAGAGTACTCAGAATCTCTCCAAAGGAGTGACACAATCTGCCTTCTGGTACAGTTATCTGGGTAATGACTTTTCTACCATATCAAACCATAAGCTCCTTGAGGGCAAGGACGCCTTCAGATTCCTACATGGAACCTGTCATGTACCTGGGACACAGTAGGCCCTCAGTCAATGCTTCACTGAATGGCAAGAAAAAGGGGCACATTGCATCTGCGAGAAGTCACTTCCTACCTCAGTTGCTCCCGTTAAGCAATGCAGAGATGAAGGCGTGCTGTTCTGCGGTCTTGAGCAGGGGAGGGGTGAGTCTTGCTTTTCTAGTTTCCAGCCTTTGAGAGCCTCCAACTTCCTCCCCAGTTGGCCATAGTCTGCTCGGCCCCAGGTAAACACCTTGCCAGTTTCTAAAAACAAACATTGTTTGAATTAGGACTACATTCCACATCTGTACTCTCACAGGAAGGCAATGAATTACAAGTATGCACATTTATTTTATTTATTTTAACACCAACTACTACATACCAGGAGCAGCCTTCCTACCTTCCTATAAAGAAGGCACAATAATTCACATTTTTACAGACATGGAAACTGAAGTTCAGAGAGGTCAAGTGAGTTGCCCAAGATTAAACAAGCTGGGAGGGACAGAACTGGATTCAAACAGAGAATCTTGCATTTCATACAGATACAAATAAGGATTTGATGACAGATAAAACACCAGCCATGCTTTATGCCCTACCCAATCTCCCCCCACCCTCCCTGTGCTTTGCCAGATGCCTGTTCTCAGGTTCTCCCCCTCCCGCCACCCAACAGGGCCCCATCAAGCCACTTTGCAGCTCCCCACACACAGTCTCTTAAAGCCTGACTCTCAGCTCAATTAATGGCCAGTTTCATGTGTTTTCCCCTCCATGTAACATAGGCGGACCTTTCAGAATCTATGCTCTTACCCAAAGGAGCAATTCTAATAGTCTCAAGGCAGTGCCTGTGTGTGCTAGAGAGAAGGGAGAGAGAGAAGGGAAAAAAAGACACAACCACTTGGAGCCAGAAAAGCGTTTGGTCCCCCAGATGTACCACATGGGAAGCTGGCCAGTACTGGAGATGATAGAAGAAAATAAAGTTTGGAAAAGGAGAAATGGCCTTTCTTCTCCCAGATAAAATTCACCAAACTCAGTCAGTTGTACCAAGTGCCACATTTGTTATTTCAACAGAAATGCAAAATCCGATGAGGCATAGATTATTAACAGATTCTCTTCAATAAATATGCATAACCATGTGCGCTGTATGAATTCTTTATACATATTTATTTTAACAAAGAAAAACTTTGCTTAAGAGACAAAACATCAAGTAATGCATATTAAATTCTAGACAAATCTACTACATACTTTGTGTTTGGTATCAAAGCTTCATCTGGTCCCACATTCAACATATGGTTTGTAGTGTCAGCTAAAAAACAACCATAGATTCACAGGGGAAATGTCAGAACATTGCAAGGAGACAAGGCTCTGTGGGACTACAGTTCTCTGGATCAACCTGCTAACAGACACAAAAGTAGATACCAAGCAATTCACAGGAATCTGACTTCTGGGCTTCCTCAAAGAGAGAACAAAGTCTGCACAGTCCACAGGGTACCTGGTGTATAATGAGAACTTGGAGTGGGCCCATTCAAATGTACCATTTCATGGCTCTGCAGGCGCTATCCCTTTGCTATGGATGCCCTTTCCTTACCTGGTAAACATGGTTCAAATCTTGGAGACCAGCCCATGTACCATAAGTTCCACGAAACCTTTCTTGATACCCCATCTCTCCCCAGAAAGGGTGACCTCACCCTCCTGTGAGCCCCCTTTATTATGACCATACTCATCAATGACTATGTTGCCATCTAACGGGTGAGAAAAGTAAGATCCAGAGAAGTGATACTCCAGGGCCACACAGCTAAGTCACACCTCTTTCTAGGAGCCCATGGTACCACTCAGCATTGGTTATTCACACCGGTCACTATAGTCACTCAATACTCTTCCTTCATTTCTGCAGGATTAGACAGAAAAAAGTCCACGTGCCCAGGATCCATGGAGTATCCAAAAGTGGCAAACCGTAACTCCAACTGAGCTGGCCAGATTTATGGCCAGACTGCCTGAGTGGGAGATTCCCAAGAAGCCAGTGGATGAGACTGTTGTTCTTTCAATGACCCTAGCATTCCTCTGCCGGGAAGAACTAGGAAGTTGCTATCAGCAAGACTGCAGTAAGAATTGTGTTACCACAAATCACACAACAAATCTTTCTTTTACATCAAGTACAGCATCCCAAAACCTTCTGTTATTGATTACTGATGTCCAAGACAGGCAAGACTGCCAGAATATGGTGCTACTGTTACGACATCTCCAATAGCAAATCCACCATTCCACTTACATAGCACTTTTCGCCTTCAAAGCACTTTACAATGATTAACTAATTAATCCTCATACTCCCTGGGGAGACCATAGACAAATAGTAAAGGCAAGTCTAGAAGCCAGGCTGACTTGATGTTCAGCCTTCAATCTGAAGCCTTAGTTTGGCACACTCTCTGAACTGGTCTGTCTGTTCCGTCTCAAAATAAACTCTACATCTGGAGGCCCACAAAAGACAGAAAAGACCCTTTTATTTTTCCTTTTGTTTTCAAAAGACATTTAATGACCATCTCCCAGGTTCTCGGCACATTCGCAGACATCATCGCAATTAATCCTCATAATAATGCTTTGATGTATAGATTATTAAGCTTATTTTACAGATGAGGTTAAATTACTTGGTCTAATTCCAACAACCAGCAAGTGCCGGAATCAAGATTTAAACCTGTGTCCTCTGACTCCAAATCCAATGGCATTTCTAACGACTGCACAGCTGCTATCCCAAAATGAAGCAACGTGGCTGATGAAACAGTCATTCTTACAGTATTTGAGGAGGGGGGAACCCAGATTAAAGGGATGTGCTCTGGGTACCACCCAGCTGTCCTCATTGGAATGACCTTCTTCCCAGGAGGTCATGCAGAACTCAGGACTGTAAGTGCTGAAATACAGGCATTAAACACAAAGATTACAATTTTATGTCACCTGGAGTAAAAGAAAATAATGAATCCACATACCAAAAATGTTCATCAATACACTATAGATAGATGTCTGCCTGAAGTTGATGCATGCTGTCAAATCCAAAGAGATTCAGGTCACAAATTTAACAAATGAATCTTTTCCTTAAAGGACTATACATTACTGTGATAAAAAATAGATATATTAATGTCATCCAAAAGGCATAGGTATATGTCTCCAGGTAAATGATAAATGAGAGAAATGACAAAACAGATCAAAATAAAGTCAACCAGTGAAATATAATTTAAAGGTACGTCCACATAAGAGTTAGCACAGAATAACTATAGAGCCAAGAGTTCACAGTGCAAAAGTTCTCAACACAACACAGACAATAACAGGGGCCAGGTGAGAATTATAGAGAAAAAAAACACTCCAGGGGCTCGGAACTAGACTTGCCATGACAGGCTGGAAGAAACAAGTAGCATTTAGGGGGAACTTTTGGATAAGAAAATGGAAGAATGAGGGAGGATACTGTAGCAGCAGGAAGCAGGTGTGAGCAATGACATGGAAACTGACAGGCAGGAGAGTGAATAGAGTGAATGAGGGTCACACGGGAGGGAGCCTAGGAGGGTAGTCAGTTTGGCCAGGCTGGGGCCAGCATGGGAGATGCTAGGCCAGGTCTGGGGTTGGGATCTCACCCTCTCCAAACTTGGTTGCTTACAGTTTTGTGTCAGTAAAATAATTATTAACATACCACCACATATGTGTATTCATTTATTTACTGAAGTAAGTACTTGTCATTTACACATTCGTAAACTATAAATATGTAAACCTCACTCAAAAATACACAATATAAAAATACATTCAGAGCCGGGCTCGGTGGCTCAGCCTGTAATCCCGCGCCTTTGGGAGGCTGAGGTGAGTGGATTGCCTGAGCCCGCGGGTTCGAGACCTGCCTGGGCAGCGAGACCTCATCTCTACAATAAATCAAAAAATCAGCCGGGCGTGGTAGCGGGCGCCTGTAGTTCCAGCTACTTGGAAGGCTGAGGCGGAAGGATCGCCGGAGCCCAGCAGGTCGAGGCTGCGGTGGCCGGGAGTGGCCACTGCACTCCAGTCTGGGCGACAGAGTGAGACTCCAACTCAAAAAAAAAAAAAACACATTCAAAAATAGAAAATGAGAAAGAAAGACATAAATATATAAAAGAAGTTATAAGATTATCTTCCACAGCCTGGTCATTCATCTAGCACACTCACTTCAGGGACGACTGCTAACTAGTTGCCTCATGGGGGAGGACTGCAGATTTTTAAGCAGGGGTATGGCCTGATAAAAGGAATGTCTGGGGATGGTACCTCTGGCAAAGGACTGCAGAAGACCAGACATAACAGTATCCATAGCTAACATTTTGATAGCACCGCCTATGTGGCAAGACCTGATCTAAGTATTCTCTCTACAATATCCTGTTTATCCCTCCAACAGCCCTGTGAGACAGGCACTCTTACCATCCCCATTTTGCTGACAGGTAACTTTGGGCACTGACCCAAAGTCACTGAGGCAATAAATGAAAAGGGAATCAAAAATGGAAGCCACCACCATGAACCTAAGATGTATGAGGGCTCAAACTAGGATTGGAGTCAAAGGGGAAAAAAAGAGAAAATTTTCAGGGCTTGGCACCCCATGAGATGTGAGAAAAAGGGAAAGGGAAGAAATAAACACCACTCTGAGACTTCAGAATTTCAAGGTGAGCAGTAAGGTGGTAGCGTCATTAATAGAAACAGATGATGGGGTATAGATGTTAGTGCAGGGGTCCCACCAATGGGAACTATGAAATGTTATTTCATGGCCAAAATGTTTGACTCTCCTGGGGCTTTTTGCAAGCATATTATCAAGTAGTCAAACAGGTAAAGAGAAAAAGGGAGAGGGTAGCAGATGCAGAGCTCCAGGAGGGGGATACTGAGGCAGGGTGGGTGGATGATGAATATTCCAAGAGGCCAACTTCCTTTACCATCCACCAAGGGCTACAGCTGCTGCAGCCACAGCCACGGACACAATGAGAAGTAGCTCCAGCATCACTGAGCTCTTCAAGGAAGAATTTTCTACCCTGTTCCAGGGAAAGGGGTCGACAGGCAGATAGATTTGACATATTTTCTTAGCAGAATCTGTCCACACGGGGAACAGAATGTCACTGAGGATAGCAAAAAGGAGTCAGTAAAGACAGGCGGATATTACAGAAAGAAAACCCACAGGACAGAGAACATGTCACATGACCTTCTCAGTCCCTCCCAACTCTGATATTCCAGGATGCTACAAGGCCTTCTGAAACACACGGGGAGAAGGAGGCTGCCCTCTACCC